TTGGGTAGTATCAGGTCAGTCCTTGACTTTGTTCTTCTCCAATATTGTGTTGGCAATTCTGCATCTTTTGCCTTTCTACGTAAACTTTAAAATCAGTTCACTGATAACCATAAACTAACTTACAGGATTTTGATTGAGATTGCATTGAATCTACAAGTCAAGTTGGGAAGACAATATTGCGTTTTTCTTATTCATGTAATTGGAGTATCTCTCCATTTATTTAGAGCTTCTTTGATTGTTTTATCAGAGTTTTGCAGTTTTCCTCATATCTTGTAAATATTTTGTTAGATATATACCTAAGTATTTCATGTTTTTCATATATTGCATTTTAATTCCAAATTTCAGTTGTTCATTTCCCTATATAATTTTATCCAAATAAAATTTTTTTTTGCTTGAAAATCTTTTATTGACCATACTATGATAGTTCTCTACAACAAAATTATGCATATACAATACCAGTAGATTGAAACATTAAGATGGACAAAGGGTGATCAGAGTTAGTGTTGTAAGGTAGTGATCCTCAAATTGGGGTACATATGCCATGCTGATACACAAAGACTTTCCAAGGAGTATGGATAGTATTAAGGGAATTGATGTTTAAGGAATTGACTTTTATAAGAGAAAAGTCTGGACACTTAGAAGTTAAAACCAATCTAGTCAATCAAGTTCAGGACAAAACATTTCGGGAAAGACACACAAACAATAGCACAAAGCCTGAGCCAAGCAACGGAGTGACCTAGAGCACCATGTGTGGTTCACATAATGTTCAACAAATAGGTTGAGCAATTGGATTGATTGATTAAGTAATATGGGAATGCAGACTTCCATGTTCTGCTCCACCTCATGTTACCCTCTCCCATGTAGGAACAGCACCTTGCCTTAATCTGATGTGATACTCTGCATGCTAGAATCAGAGGACAGGGTTACATCTCTAGATTCTGGTCTCTCAGAAGTTTTATTTGTTTCTTTAACAAATATTTATCAAATGTCTACTAAGTATGTGGCATCAAGCACTGGGCTAGGATACACTGGTCAATAAGATGGATACGGTTATGATCCTCATGCAGTTGAATGTTTAGTGGGGGACTGGCAAGTAAGTTGGTAACTAGAGTACAATAGGATAAATGCTACAATAGAGAATATACAGTGTGTAATGGGAACATACAAGATGGGAGCCTAACTAAAATTGTGTGGGTGTTGAGAGGAGGGGATAAACAGTTCTTCAAAGATGGGACTTACAAGTTGAGTCCTGATAATGGACATTTGAAGGAGACAGAAAAGAGGCTAGGAAAAAATGACCAGAGATTCGACTAGAAAATAAGATGGGGTCAGATTCTAAGGTATTCAGACTTATGATAGCAATTAGAGCCACTGAAGGGTTTTAAGTACAGAAGTGACTTAAGGATCATTCTTACTAAATTAATTATAAAGAAGAGCCTTTTAGGTTTATTACTGGCATCCCAGGCCTCTTATCACTCAAAAGAATTGATATGACTTGGTTATGCCTTTCTGCCCTTTAAGTGTTATCTTTACTTGAAATGCCCTTCTTCTAAATATACTTTTCCAATTCTTCCCACAAGACTCAGTTTAAATTACACTGCCTCCAAGCTTTCCAAATACCCCCAATTGGTGCCTCAACTCTTCCACTGCATAGTGACTTATTTGTACCTCAATTTTATCATTTATATACTGCTGCATAACAAATTATCTGCAAAGTTAGTGGCTTAAAAGAACAAGAAACATTTACTATTTCTCACAGTTTCCAGAAATCAGGAACTTGGGAGTGGCTTAACTGGGTGATTCTGTTTCAGAGGTTTTTTGAGGTTACAAGATGTCAACTGGGGCTGTGGTCACCTCATATCTTGTTTGGTGCCGAAGCCTTCCATGATGGCTTACCCACATGGCTGGAAAGTTGGTACTGGCTGTTGGGAGGAGCTCTTAGTTCCTTTACACATGCACCTCTTTACAGGGCTGCTAGGCAGCTGGCTTTCTCCAGAGTAAGTGATCTAAAAGAGCACGGTGGAAGCCAAAATGCATTTTATGACCAAGCCTCAGAAGTCATACATCATGATTTCTACAGCATACCAATGAGTACACAGACCAACCCTATTCAATGTGAGAGGGTCTACACAAGGGTGAGAATACCAGGAGGTGAGGAACGTTGATGCCACTATGGAGGCTGGCCAATACAGCAACTATAACATTTATCTTCATTATGAGTTAGTCTTGCATTTGCCTCTGTTCCACTAGACCAGTGTTTCTCACACTTTTTATTCATTATTGCTCCTCTATGGATTCTTTTTAGACATATTTTTCCTAATTGCACACCCCCCAAGAAATTTTAATACCACAGCTATATTATAAAATAGTACTTCAAAAATTTCCTGGAAACATTTTTGTTATATTTTAATTCTATTTTTCCATAAACTTTTTGAAATACCCTCATATATTTGCTTATGTTCTGTACAAATATGTATATCCTTGCTTTATACATCAAAAGAGTAATATATTTTTACTCCCCAAGAAACAATTTTCACTTAGCTTTGAAGTTGACAATGCATGCACTAGACTGAGAGCTAAAAATCCAAGAGTTGGTATAGTACCATGCCTTTTCATCTTTTATTCTCATAGCACTTTGATTAGTGCTTTAAACAGAGAATAGTAAATATTGAATTAAATTGTTGTAAATAATTGGGCAAGGACAGGGAGGAAAATGAGTATGTGATTCAGTGAGAGCGGGAAATAGATATGCCATTGACCAAAATGGAAACAGAGCCCCTATGGGAAAAAAAGTGTGAGAGAAAGAGCATTTAATAAACTTTTTTTGAAACACTGAATATATCAATCTTGTTCATCACTGAACATTGACTCTTCCTGACACATTCTCAGGTACTCAATACTTATTTTTTGAATGAATAAATTCATTTTCCATTATTGATTGCTGACAGCAAGTCAGCATACATGAACTTCAAGGCTGTCTGATCACCTGAAAATTGAGGAATTTACTTTGATTAATTCAGTTAAGGATTAAATCCTATTCCACATTTCCAACTCTAAACTAAATTATCCAATTTACCAAAGAATTTTGGAGATCAAATGTCAAGGAACTCTTGTTTCATTTCTACTCCATCCAATCAAGGGGTGAAGCACTTGTGGGTACAAAAAGGCCGGAGTTACAAAGTCCAAGGGAAATAAAGCACTCTTATCTCATATTTTGATTTTCTGGTTTGCTTCTCCACTTTCTAGATTACAAAATTCCTAAAGACAGAAAGTGTGTAGGTCTCGCTGAAATCTAGAAGGTAAACGTTTTTTTGAATGCATGCATAAATTAGTCAAGATCCCTGCCCCAAGGGACTGACAATCTAGTATGACACATATATTAAACATTTTAAACATTGGTACTGCTGGACCTACACAATACCTGAAGATTATTCACAAGCACAATCAAAGCTTTCTAAGGAAAACAGTAGGTGAATCAGTTTTGTTGGAGAGAAGATCCTACTTCAGTGAATTGTGGGTCGTTTTGAGGAGTAATAATTAATGCTGAGTGAAAGACGACAGACCCCCCCCCCAAAAGTGCATATTGTATGATTCCAATATATAAAATTTTAACATAAGCAAACTAATCTGTAGTGACAGAATGCAGATCAGTAGTTGCTAAGGCATGTGATGGGGAGGGACAGGATGGAGGGATTATACAGGGCAGGAGGAAACTTGGGAGCGATGAATATATTCAGTGTCTTGATCAGGATGATGACAACGGGGGTACATGGGTGCAAGGGATACAAGACTCCCACTGGATGCCTTAAACTGTGGATAATATGGAACCCTATACATAGTATATTTTTTCCTAGACATGATACCTATAATAGAGTTTAATCTATAAATTAGGCACAGTAAGAGATTAACAACAATAACTAATAATGATAAATAATATGAACAAATAACAAAATACTGTAATAAAAGTTACGTGAATGTGGTCTCTTTCAAAATATCTTAGTATTTTCGGACTATGGTTGACCTCAGGTAACTGAAACCGAGGATAAGGAGGGACTACTGTATATACATGTCAAAACTTATCAAATTGTACACGTAAATATGTGCAGATTATTGTATGTCTACTATTCTTCAATAAAGCTGTATTTAAAAAGGAGATAAGATAGAGCCAGATTGCAAGGAGTCAGACGGAGGAACTCTTGAAGTCTTTGGGAGTAGAAAGGCGATGCATGAAAAGCAATGTTTTAAGGAAATTAAACTGATTGTGGTTTTTAGAGTAAATAGGCAATAATAACACTTAGTAAACTATCGCTAACAGCCAAACCTGGGCTGGTGAATTAGCAAAGGTAATGGAGAGACGGAGAAGCATGTATTAGACGAGGGTAACAATCCAGTCTTTGGTTCAGAAGACGTATGGCGTATGCTTGTCTGTGGGTGATATCCCTGGAGGGAAAAGGAATAGTCCTATAGCCAAACCCCGAAGAATTCTTACTGGCAGAAACAGAGGAAGCTAGAAGCAGCACATGATTCGGGGGTAAGAAGAGAACTCCGCATTTTGGACGGGGAGAGAGTAATGTTTGAAGGCTCAACCCCCTCTGAGGAACAAGAAGGGGGTTGGGAAACTCTAGTTTGCTGGAGCGTGCAGACAGGGGTGAGACCGTGCCGAAACACCAGGCTGGATCTCGGAGGCCTGGGACCATAACCCTCAGCCGCTGCTTCCTCAGCTTCCACTCCAGGAGATGAGGCACACGTTTGTGCAAGTTCCCACTAGGAATCCAAAGGACGTCTGCGGAGTATACCCCAGCCATCTCGAGAAACCGGGGATGGGGGCGGGGCGAGGGCGCTCGTGCCCGGCGCGTGCGCGCGGCGCGCAGGGAGTCGGCCTGGAAGTGAGGGAGCGCGCGCCCTTCACGTGACCCGACCCGCGGGCGCCGACGCACACGACGCGCCCTCACGTGGTCTGTCTCCAGCCCCGTCGCCGGCGGAGGCGGGCGCGGGCGCGTCCCTGTGGCCGGTTACCCTGAGGAGTTGGTCGCACAATTATGAAAGACTCGGCTTCTGCTGCTAGCGCCGGAGCTGAGTTAGTTCTGAGAAGGTTTCCCTGGGCTGTCCTTGTCCGGCGGCCTGTGCTGCCGCCTCCGGAGACGCTTCCCGATAGATGGCTAGAGGCCGCGGAGGAGGAGGAGGTGGAGTTGCTGCCCTTCCGGAGTCCGCCCCGTAAGGAGAATGGTACTGAACCTACGCAGGCCCGGGCGGGGAATGGCCCTGGGGGTTGCGGGTGGGGAACAGTACGACCTGGCAGGCAAATGTATCGGGGAGCCGCGTTCGCCGGGGCGAAGGACCCCCGAATTGCCTTGCGGCTTCCGGAGTTGCCCTGGCGGGACACGGGTGCAGTTCTTTCGGGGGTGAGGGACGGGAAGCAGGTAGCTAACCTGGCGCAACAGCTCGTCGCGGGAATTCCCTGAGCTGCAGCCCGGCTCCAGCGAGGTCCCCTCGAGACGGCAGAGGCGCGAGCCGGGTACTACCTGGCGGGGCTGAGCTGAGCGGCCGCAGCGTGCCAGACGCAGCGCTCAGCCTCCAAGCTCCGCATCTCCCGGGAGCGCGGTTCTCCTGGCGCCAGTTGCTGGCAGATAAGGGAACCAAGTGCTCTGCCCAAGTCCAGCATGGAAAAGGAGGGAGGGCTGGGAGGGAGCAAAAAAGGGGTAGAGGACACGGGTTTGGAACTGTGCCTTGTTTGCTGCGCAGTGGATACTCTACAGGTACATTTTCTTTTTGGAGCCTAAGGGGAGGGATTTGACAATATTGACGGTAGATCTGGGTTGGAATTGTCATTAGCAAGAGTCAAGGATGAAGAGGTTGGGGACCCAAGCGGTATGCTGTCAGGATTTAAGTCGAGCTTCCTCATCCGTTGCCCTGGAGAAAGGTTGATCGTGTTTTAAACGGAAGGTGCAGAGTGGAGAGAGGGATACGGTGCATTTCAGCTTTTGATAGAACTTTTTTGTTAAGGCCAGGAATCAAATTTGAAGATTTCTTACTGAGAAAGTCATTTTGATCCCGGGCTTGAAGAGCAGGGTAGGTATTTCAGGTCAGTACTTGAACTTGATAGGCTTTATGTAAACATCTCTCCCTCTGCTGAAGTCTGGTATGTTTACTCCTCTCTAGAAGGGAATTCAAGTGCCATACAAAACTGAAACCAGGGTTTTACTTATACCACGAATGTAGTTACACTTTGAATAAGTAGTGCATCTTTTCCACCTTCTTTAGTATGTGAACTCAATAAAAACGCCATTTTACCTTTTTCCTAATTTTAAAAAGAAGGATTTAAGTTCCTCTACCGGCGCTAAATTTTGGAATTTTATTGCTTAAGTGGATTTAAGGAAATCTACTTTTGGGAGGAGGGATTGAGTGATATATCTAGTTTTCAGTTTTACATGGTAAATAACGTAAATCTGAACATACTATTTCAATATTTAAAAAATTTTTCGGGGCCGGCCCCGTGGCTCACTCGGGAGAGTGCGGCGCTGGGAGCGCCGAGGCCGCGGGTTCGGATCCTATATAGGGATGGCCGGTGCACTCACTGGCTGAGCCTGGTGCAGACCACATCTTAGCGAGAGTTGTGGTCCCCTTACCAGTCAAAAGATTTTAAAAAAAAAGAAAAGAAAAAAATTTCGGATATGTTAGAAAATGGAAATGAAGATGGTTCATTATATTCAAAGCCTTTCATTACTTCCTAATGTTTTATTAGAGCAACAGACTTCTTTGTTTTGAAAGTCTGTAATTTCTTATTCGTACCTCAGGTGCCCTTCTCAAATCCAGCTCTTAACTTAACGTCTTGCTATCTGTGAACTTTGAAACCTAGCCTTCAAAAATTAAGGTGTGCCGAAGTTTCTCCTGTTTCTGCCACCTTTCCATTTATGTTCAGCCCTTTTCATAGCAGATATGCTCCTCCAAATGATATATATGTCTGTGTAAATAGTGTGCCTTACTTCACACTTAGGGAACTCTGTGTTGGTTGGACATGCTGTTAACAACCTGTTGATTCTTCAAGAAGAAATTCTCACTTTCTAATTTGAAATTAAGAGTCTGATTTTATTTTTTACACTACCTAAGTCCTGATTGCTATTTGAGTAGTGTGATTTTCATTGCAATTAAATTATAGTGAATCCTTAGGATAACCTAAAACTGGGGTTCTCCATTCAATAATGGTAATTTGTTCATCTTCCTCAACTGTTAGGTAAACACGGAGACCTAAAAGTCCACCTAAGTATGTTGTATCTACACTGTATAATTCTTACTGTAAACTGTTAGTTAAGGCATTTATTTCTGGTAGTTATTTTCTACTTTGACACTAGTACAAAGCATACAACACTTTTCTGTGATTTAAAAATCTTTAAAATTAGTCAGCAAGGGCTATTGGTTAGCTCAGTTGGATAGAGGTCAGCGTTGTAACACCAAGGTCAAGAGTTCAGATCCCCATACGGGCCAGCCACCAAAAAAAAAAACAAAAACAAAAACTAATCAGCCAACCAACTAAAAAACAATACAAAACAAACAAAATAGCAAGAAACACAAGTTAAAAAGCTAGAATGGAATCAAATTTTGTAAAAATTATCTACCATGGCTTCTGGAAAATTTTGTTTTATTCATTTGGCAATCACTTATTTAGTGATATATTCCAAGCACTGTGATAGGCACTGGAGAGGCAAAGATGTATTAGGCAAGTCTACTTTTAAACAGCTTATTCTAGTTATTTATAAAAGATCTACCTGTTGCTGTCCAGTGGAAGATGTAAACATTATTTCATAAGGTAAACATTTAGTATCTCCTATGTTTCAGTCACTGTGATAGTTAATAGCCTTAAAGAGCAATGTAGATATGCAAAAAAGTAAGAATTGGAATAGAAGGGGTATTGAATTGGTGGTTTTAGTCTAAGGGAAATGACCTTCAGAAGAAAAGTGCATACTTAGTTTTTTCTGGGAATTACTGTACAATCCTGTGCATAGTTTGGAATGAATGGAATATATGATGATAAGTGTACTGATGGGAATATTATAAATATAGGCAGATTTATGAAGGTAATATATACTGTGCAGAGGAGTTTGGATTTTATTCTGGAGGTGGTGGGGATCCATTAAAGGAAACAACATGAAGAGTGAAGTACGTGTGGTTAAACTGAAAAGAGAGACTCATAAGGAGGAGACAGTTGTGAGACTCTGACAAATGTTGAGTAGAATTAGTAGAAGAAAGAAGGAACAGATTGAGATGTTTAGGAATAAGAATTTTCAGAACTTGGTCACTGTCTCATGGAGTAATATCTCTAATTTGTACGCTGGAAATAATAGAAGGAGTTATCTGAAAAGCAGACTATTACTATCAGTAGGACACTGGAGAAACATTAATTAGGTTAGAAAGATAGGGCTGTACATTATCCTATAGTGTGTGAACCAGTAATCTTCCTAGTCTTTAAGAGTATGATTTATCATACTCAATACCCAGAAGATACTCCTGACTAAGGAAAGTAATAGGCTTCAGACAAGTATTTATGTTAGTTAGCATATGTTAGCATTTAGCTTTGGCCATTGTTCTAAATGCTTTCCATATATGAATTACATGTATTAATCCCTCAAGAAAACTCTATGAAATAGACCCTTTTTTTCCTCCATTATTTATATGAACAGAGAAGCAGATCACTTGCCAGAGGTCACAAGGCTAATAAGAGGTAGAGTAGGTGTATTGACCTACCGAACTGTAGAAACTTCGAGAAGGATATTGATTTTCAGGGGCATGTATATTTATGAGATCTCAGATGACTGGTTTTAAGTAAAAAAGTTGAGGTAATTTTTTAAAAAGTTAACTTTTAAAGAATTTTTATTGTACTACATTTCTTCAAGTGATATGAAGCCTAGTGGAATTTTCTTTATTATCAAAATTCTATGTATTAACCTTAGGATGGGTTATTCATAACTCAGATGTATACATTTTATTTTATCAAATGCAGAGACTCACTCTAAGAGGATCCTTAGTAGATTGGAAAAGTCATTAATTAAACTAAATAGATGTTTAGGATGGGTAGAGTCCATTAAAAACTGCAAAAACCTATCATGAAGGCATTAACAAGGTATTGTCACACAACTCAGGGATAGACAATGGGTTGATATGGTTTACTTACAATATGAAAACCCAAGTTTTCTGATAGAGAGGGTGTCCTGATATTTTCTTTAGACTTCTCTTTTTCAGATTGATTTTTGTGGCTTCATCTGAAAACATTTCAGTGGTCATTGAGGGGTCCATTTAATTCAGTAGATACTGTTGCTTTGAAAGGGGGGAGTAATTAGGGAACAAGGAACCAGGAATAAAAGTGAAGAATTTAAATTATGCTATTTGTCTTCAAGTACATAATGTTTAAAAATAAACATATATAAAGGCTGGCTGGTTAGCTCAGTTCATTAGAGTGCAGTGTTATATGTTGTAACACCAAGGTCAGGGGTTTGGATCCCTGTACCAGCCAGCCACCAGTAAATAAATAAACATGTATAGTTTTGAGTTCTTTAGTAATTTTTTTTATTACGGAATTCAGATATATAAAAGTATAGATTATAATATAGCAGACACTCGTGTACCAACCATCCAGCTTAAGTAATAAAATATTACAGATAAAATTGAAGCCACCCAAATACCCTGTCAGAATCCCATTCTGCTTTCCATTTCTGCAGACAACTATCATATTAAGTTTAGTCTTTGTTGTTCCTTTGCATACTTTTGTAGTGTTGTCACAGAGTATTCTGTGATTTTTTTGTGTTTCTAAATTTTATATATATGGAATTATGTATGTCTCTTTATGGACCTTGTTCTTTTCTTTTTAATCAACATTAGGTTGTGGAGATTTATCCATGTTGATACATGCAGGGTCTAGTTTTTTTTCCTGTTAACCTTTGTGTATTATTCAATTATATGAACATGCTGTGTGTTGTCCATTTCATTGTTATTAGGCATTTAGGTTGTTTCCAGTTTTTTACACAAAATGATACATACATTCTTGTATGTATCCTATGTATAGGTGTGACAATTTTTCTAGGATGTATATCTAGAAGTAGAATTGTTGGATCATAGGATAGGTATATCTTCAACTTTACAGATAATTGCCAGAGTGTTGACCAAAGTAGTTGTGCAATTTATACTCT